TATGTGTTCTATATATCTGTCTAGATAGATAGATAGATAGATAGATAGATAGATAGATAGATAGATATAGATATGTATATATTCCACTTCCTGATTTCTGCCAAGTCCTGTTGTCTTGCCACAGTTTTCTTAAGTTTTTATATTTCTTCTTTGTGCTATTCCTTCAGAGAACCTATTATTCTTTAATAGTCTTAAAATTCATGGCTAAATGTTTGGCTTTAATATTCATCTATGCTATGGCAGCATTTTTCTAGTAAATCTTGATTATCTTTTTTCTCATAATTCCATGTGTAATCTTTGTACATGGAATGTTTCTATGCCAATATTACTGTCTTACTCATTATTACATGCATTGAATTTTCCTGGGCCAGCTATTTCACAAGTTCCTTGTGAGGCAGGGAGGCTAGCGTAGTCTTCCAGAGTAGATGATTCTCACATCCAACTGCAGCCACAGAGACAGGCTTCTTCCTACCAACATGCACGTGTATGTGAATAGTTGCATATCCCATGTAGCGTAGTCTTCCAGAGTAGATGATTCTCACATTCAACCGCTGCCACAAGACATAGGCTTCTTCCTACCAACATGCTCGTGTGTGTGAATAGTTGAATATCCCATGCCCTCTGCCTCTCTAAAAAAAGATAATCTAGGATGCACACCTCAGTTCCTGAACCATTTGTTACAAAAAAGCATGTAGCTATAATGCTTCAAGTTAGGCCCCTCATGCTCAGTAAGGATATTTTTGCTAGTGCTTCCCGCCCTCTGCCTCTCTAAATAAAAATAAGTCTAGGATGCACACCTCAGTTCCCCAACCATTTGTTACAAACAAGCATGTAGCTTCAATGCTTCAAGTTAGGCCCCTCATGCCCAGTAAGGATATTTTTGCTAGTGCTTCCTGATATTTGCCATTGCATGGTGTTCTCACCATTCTCCACATGGTTTCACTTTCTCCCACATAACTTCTGTGTGATCAAATCTGCTTTTAGCAACTTTTACACCTATTTTAAAGTCTGGTATTCACAGGTTTTTTTTTTAATTTGGTTCTTTCTTACTTTCTCCCCTCTCCTCCCGACCCCTAGCATTTTATTTCCAAGCAAATAGTAACACACTGACTTAGGCAGCCATATGCATATTCGAAATCTAAAAGTTTGAATTTAAGTCAGATGTGGGGCAATTCTAGGTGATGACAAGTCCAGAAATGACCACTGAGAGCAAGTGGAGAAAAGTGGAGTCAAAGTGAAGACCTACGTCATTTGCCCTCTCTCTAGCTCTCTCTCTTTTTCTCTCACTGAGCTCTGGGCACCCTGGCTCTGACTAGGTCCTCAAAGGCATCAAGCACTGCCTTACTTGCTCCCCTCTCTGACTGCAACACTCTCTTCTGGCTTTCTTCTTAGTATAATTTATTTACAATTTGGGAGGGTGAAATGGTGGGACACACATCAAAATCCTGCTATGTCCCTAGTTCCAGTCTCACTCTTTTCCATCCATACCCTCCCTTTATTGCCTCATCCCTTCCTTCCTGAACTGTGTGTGATACCACTGCCTCCCCCGAACACATACACACTGAATTGTTTACTTCTATTATAAAGGAAAATTCAACTTTCTTTAACTCCTACCTGCAAATTTGCTGGTTCAGACCCATCAGAGCCTCAGCTAAACTAAGGGCCTTTGATCTAGTAACCATAGTCCTTAGAAAGAGATTAAAATAAAAGGATGATGAAAACAATGTGTACTAGTCAGTACAATATCCACATACATTCTAAAGAGAATGTCAGAGGAAACTGACAGGTAGAAAGGGAATAAGGCTTCTCTAAGGCTAATTGTCCATCTAAACCAGGTGTAGCTGAGCACTAAACTCAAGTTCTCAGTCTCTTAGCCCAGAATTATTTTCAGAGAAAGAGAAATGAAGTGAGATAAAGTTAGGGAGCCAGAGAGATGACAGAGAACCT